AAAAAAAAACAAAAACCGTACTAAAAAATGAACTCCACTGCTTTCGTGACCGATCACTTCGTCTTACCAGCGCAGATTCACTTGCACTTGACCTCTCCAAAACATTTGGAGACATGCTTCTGCACCGTTTACGCTCTTTTCCTTGATTAACGGCTGAGACCATACTTATGTTACACGGATCCTGTAAAAGGGAGATAAAAAGAGGAAATCCTTATACACTCCCATTTTATTACTTTTCAGTCTACAAAAGAGAGCAGCTGCAAGGAATTAAAGTAAACGTACGAATGCACTGATGCTGCAGAAGCAAGAACTGTCAAACGATCCTTGAGAAACAATCAAGCATTAACTTACTCCATCTGAACTCCAGCCACTATCGGCAGTTTCATAACGATCTACACTATTTGAACACCGGCTACAAGAGCTTGAGGAACTGTTCCTTCGAGCTGGAGGAGTATGATTTTCTGATGAATTCTGAGCGGATAAGGATGTATTGCTTATATTATTCAATGAAGATACGGACGACTGCTCGCGCTCACTTACAGTTCCAGCACGCGATATTTCATCCCGACACTCCCACTAAAAAGTTGTTATATAAGAAATTATCTGAAAAAACTTAAGCTTATATTGCCTATAACAAAATCTATCTTGAGAAATTAACGATTAAGCTAGGCGACAGACGCAAGCAAAAAACAGAGCAGTATCAAACGGAAAAGGTTCACTGGATAAAGTGGCTGTCGTAGTTCGCGATGAAGCAAATCAAGAAAGCAACGAATGAACTCTTGCGCGTCCTGCTGGCCCCATCCCCGAAACTGAGGGCAGTGTATCCGAATTTGCTAAAAATGTTAATAAGTAATCTAAAAACAGACTCAATTAGAAAGAAACTGTAAACCCTTTACAAAGAAAGATTTTTATCTGAAAACCAATCAAATAACATTTAGGAGAAGTTGAGGGCTTGTGCATCCACTTCGACCTCGAGACCATATCGACTGCAGCAAAAGGCGAAATGACCGAGAAACGGGTGGTTCAACAGTCCTTGAAAAACAGTGTGATGCGAATGGAGCCATCGATGATGCTGAGCGAAAATATTCTGCTAGCGGTGTGCAGTTTGAAAGCGTTTGCAAAGCTGCATTCATGTAACAAGTGTTACCAAGGTTGCACAAACCAGTGAGTCCTACAGTACGCTCCATTTTCACTTAATTTATATTACTTGTAGAGCAAAAACAGAAAAAATGGTGAAACAAACAAAAAGAAAAAAAGAAATCAAATTTGAATTAGCTAACAGACTGAAAAAATAACACTATAAAAGAGGTAATAAAATTTGATTAAACGACCTCTTGGAAAAACAGATCCACTGTCGTCTTCCTCATCAGTATCAACTATTATTGCTCTGTGAGATTCCCCGTGATCATTGAAAACACGACCACGTATTGGAAGTAGGGTCTAAATAAATAATTTAAGCCAATCCATTTATATAATATCAAACCAATGCTCGTCTGATTCAGCACTCATCAAGTTTTTACTCAGATATCAATTAAATACTTGAGCTGGACAAAACGAGATAATTAAAAATAAAGAACTAGAAAAGAAAATAAATTGCAGACAATTTTAAACAGCAAACCAAAATCAGAACTAACTCTAGTAAATTTAGCTTTTGCAACTGCTTCTCTAGGTTCCTGTAACAAAGATACAGTGTTCGCTGAATTTCTAACGTCGTTCCTACAGCTAACCTGTTGACTAATGACATCTAATACCTAAATTCATTGTGTATCAGCTTGTTAAAAATAGTGAAGAAGTAATTTCAGGCTTTTTAGAACTTTAATCAAGTTAAGATTTGAAATGACAAACTATTTTTTGTCAAACCGCCAAGAATACTTATACAAACGAAAATAAATAAAATTCCGATGTTACCACATTAAAAAGCTCAATTTATAAGCCGTTTAAAATAGTAAGCTTGGCCAATTTTTTGGACCATTCCCACAGTCACAAAACTTTTGATAAAAAACTAACGTGAGGACTAAAAGGTGGATCATTCGAATGCAAATATACTTCACAGAGGCAAATCAAGCACCAAATACGTCCTGTACGCACGTTCATTTGCAAACAATGAGTTTGATTCGCCTTTAAAAGTTTTCCTACATGTAATCTGACTAATGATTTGAATAACACAAAAATAAAATACTCCTTCGACAACCTGTTCACCAAGATAGATCAGGAAGAACTGAAAGCGAGGAAAATCCAATGTCAAAAAAGAAATTCTAAAAAAGTGGTGTTAAACCTTAAAGTGATCTTCCCCATGATCTTTCGCCCTCGATCCGCAGAATACTAAACCGCAGGAACCAGACAGGCAAAGCCATATGCGTTCGTCCAGTTCTCCACATTCATCACATCTTTCCTTCTTAAACACAAAAAAAGATATGTAAGAAGAATCAGAAGAATCAGAAGTATATTTTAAGGAAGGGAGTTAAACATGTGAATCTCTTATGCAATTAAACGCCTCCCATAAGATAAAGGAGCAGAAACAATCCATTTATTTTAATAAAAAAAATTTTATTCGGGACTTACTGTTAATTAGACAGATCCTATTAGCACATCAACAAAGCAAGAGTATTATAA